CCCTTACATGTTACTACCTCTTTCTCCCTTGCTTGCTTTAAGATTCTCTGCTTGTCTTTGATATTTGCCATTTTAATGATGATGTGTCTTGGAGTGGGCCTCATGGGGTTCCTCTTGAATGGGACCCTCTGTGCTTCCTGTACTCTTGTCACTTGTGTGACCTTTTCTCTCCTCCAATGAGGGAAGTTTTCCATCATGACTTTTTCAAACAGGTTATCTATCCCTTCCTCATCCTCTTCTCCTTCTGGTATCCCTGGGGAGTGTTTCTTTGTCTTCCCATTATTTGTGAGACTCTTCTTTTTTGCTTCTGCTTCTTAAATTGATCTGTCTTGATTTCCTGACTTTGTTGTGTGAGCTTCTATGGTAGAAGACTGCTGTTTTTTCTTTCTGGATCTGACTCTGATGATGTCAGATGTTCACCTTGTCTGACCTTAGGCATTCTGTTCGAGACTTCCATGAATCCACTGTCTGTGGCTGTCCCCTTCAGCTGTTAATCTAGTCACTCTGCACTCAGCAGGCCAGCTTAGGGAGACTACAGGGCAGGGCAGAGTCCCTCCTGGGGGTGGAGTTATTGGGTCCTCTCATGCTGTTGCGGCTCAGGGGAGTGGTCTGCCCGAGCAAGATGGCTAGTGCCATGTGGGGGACGAGTCAGCACCAGGATCATGCTGGCTATTCCCTCTGTTCTCTCCTCAAAGCCTCCTTCCCCAGTCTCTTCTCAGGCATCTCTGGCCCACTCTGCCCCCACCACTGCTGGAGACCAGGGTAAGTGGCTGAAAATAAAAATTTATATGTTGACCCTTTAAAAGGCTCTTTGCATCTCTAGCCGCCTCTCTCGCAGAGAGCAACCGTGCTGGTTTTCGCAACTGGCTGTTATCTGTGTACTTTTGGGGCTCTGGTACTGCAGGCTGGAGATCCCCATTTATGGTTTAGACCCCACTCATCTCAGGGGGATCCCACTGTCCATTTCAATATCCTTCCGGTGCTGCCACCAGTGGGCGCCCTGCCCACCTTCTCGAGTCTCTACCGCACTCCTTATCAGTTAGGTTGTGCTAAAGCTGATTCTTCTTTCTGTCCAAAGTTATAAGGCTCCTCTCTTGTTATTGTTCAGTTGTTTGTTCCAGGTGATTTCTCCACAATTTAGTTGTAATTCCAGGTTGGTCCTGGGAGGAGGTCAGTGTGACTTCCACTCACTCCTCTACCACCTTGATTCTCCTAAATCAACCTGTTTTTATGCATCACTCATTTTTTTCCCCAAGGCTTGCTAATATTGGGCCCTTTTGACTCAATTCTTGAACAACTGTTGGAGGTGAGTTATATCTTTCTATCTACAAAGTCCCATAGGCTCTGGAAATCCACAGCAATCTATTCATTGTGAACACCAGCTTAGTTGGGAGATTATTTTTTCTTTAGTTCTACCTATAGTTTTATTACCACAAATATTTTGAGATCTAGTTGAGAGACATGATGTATTCTTATTGTTAATTCTTCAAATATTGTCTGCCCTTCAACCTCAGGTATTTAATCATACTCTCTCTGTGTTGTGTCTTTAAGAGTTTTATAAATAAATGCTTTGGTATCTATCTTTGGTATTGTGATAAGCATGGAACAAAATGCCACATATAAGATTTCATATACTGCTCCTAACAACTCTGAGACCGCTAATATGTTTTCTATTTCTGTCAGGAAGGAACGTATGCCACAGAGAGATTAAAAGGTCTTCTCAACTAGTAAGTGACTGAAACATGGAACAGACTAACAGCTGTAAGAGGGGAGAGGGAAGTGGAGACTGGTTGAAAGAAGGTGAAGGGAGTACCCAAAGAACATATATGAAGTACTAAACTTTGCGACAGCATGGATGGAACTGGAGAGCATCATGCTAAGTGAAATAAGCCAGGGGGCGAAAGACAAATACCATATGATCTCACCTATAAGCGGAACCTAACCAACAATGCAAAGATGCAAGGAAAATATGACCAGCAACACTGAAAGGAAAAGAAATCAACAGAGACAAGAGGGAAGGGGGGGGGCAGGGAAAGGGAAGGGAAGGGGAAAGTCAAGGAACATATAGCAAGGACTCATGGACACAACCAAAGGGGAAGAGCTGAGGGAGGGAAGGAGGGAGGGGGCAAGAGAAAGAGGTGGGGGGGAGGCAGAGACAAATGTATTTAAAAAGTAAATAAATTAATTTAAAAAAAAAAAAGAACATATATGCATGACCCATGAACATGGGTGGAAGGGTACAAAAGGGGAAAATTGAGATAACTGTAACAGCATAAACAATAAAATATTAAGAACTGGGATTAAAAAAAAAAACAGTAAGTGACTGAAATGAGATTTAACACAGACCTACTTCCTAACAGAATCCAAAGCTGGTGTTCCCAACCCTCATGGTATGATAACTCCCTGAACTTTCTATTTGCAATTTAAAAAGTTAACACTCTTAGTAGTGCCTTTGAGTATAGCCTTTATTACAGTTTCTGTTATTTGTTCCTTTGGCTTATCCCATTAAGAATTATTGTTTCCAGGTAAGATCTCAATGTCTGGTCTCCAAATCCATTGTGTTGAATTATTTTCATTTGGCCCCTTAATCATTTCATAATTTAGAGTTGATTTCTTTTTCAGTTACATTCTGCAGTATCCTTGTTTTCCTAACTACTCTCACTGCTGCACTGCAAATGATTCCTTAGGTTCTTGTTTAATGGCTTGGCTTTTCTATCCCATGAAAGGAAAATTTCAGCATTATTTGAATTATGAACACTTTTTGGGTATTAAACTTCAGAGACTGATACTGGTTTTTTTTCCCCTAAGTTCTTAGGGGGGTATTTTTTCTAAAACCACAAAATTTTACATCTTTTCAATTCTAACTTATTACCATAGTGACAATAAATGTTCAGAAATGTACTCTCCAATAATTTCTCAGGAATATATACTCCACTTTTATTAGTGGTTGGTACTTACTCTTTCTGGCTGATGACACTATCATAGGAGAAATCTGAGGCCAATCTGATTTTGGTGTTCATGGTGGCAGGAAAACAACAGCTTTTATTACTGAGTAAAAGTTAGGTACAATCAAACACTGAATTTATTCAATGATATTAAGGTTTTACAGAAATGAATTTATAGCTATAAAAGAAACCTTTATTGGGACACTAGTGAGCCAACTAAAGAATGTGAAGATGGTCAGAAATTTAAATAAGGTCAATAATTTAAATAATAGTATTATATCAATCTTAATTTCTCAATTTTGATAAATATACTATAGTTATGTAAGAGAATATCTTTGTGTTTAGGGAATTCACACTTATGAGTATATGAGTAAAGGAGAATAGTGTCTACAACTTACTTTCAAATATTTCAAGGAAAACATTGTACTCAGATGCACATACACACACATACATGTACACATGGATATGGTAGAAAGAGAGAATGACACAGCAAATGTAAAATGTTAACATTTGGCAAATCTAGGGAGAGTATTCAAGAATTTTTTGTACTATTTTATTAACTTCAACCCTCAAATTATGTCAAAATAAAAGTTAAAGATACCTCTACTCTTGTTATTGCAAGTTCTAGTTTCAAACTTTTCCATTGAAAAAACTATTTGATAATACATTTTTGGTTAATATAGGATATCTTAGGCATGCCCCTGTTATGTTATAGCAGTCAGGTGTAAGTTTCTGTCAGCAAGAAACAGAGCAAGTCCATTACCTCCTTTATTCTAAATCAATATTTAACTGAGACTATGCACCAGAATTCCTTGAGGAGTTTTTTCACGATACACCCAACTAGGACCTGCTCCCAGAGGTTGTTACAGGATGTCCAGGTTGGAAAAAATTAATTTAGCACAGTACATTTTACAAAAGCTCTCCCAGGTGATTCTGATAAGTATCCCTCACCACATTGAGAATCACCACTCTAGATATAGAACCACTCATCTATAATTAAAGACAGAGACTGCACTGCTATCGATTTTTTGGCATTCATATCACAGCATAGATGAATATAGCATTTGCAATCAATTCAAGCCCCTATAACTAGAAACAGAACATCACAGTGGAAAGAGCACAGACTTAGGAGACAGACCTGGGTTCAAACCTTAGCTCTGCCTCTTAGTTAACCCTATGAGTCTCTATTTAATCCTCAGTCCAAGGAGGAAAGATTTCTAACTCACAGGTTACCATGAGGATTAGAGAAGAAAACATTCATAAAACAGTAGCACATAGTTAAATGCTCAAGAATGTTATTTTCCTTTCCCCAAGTAGAGTTATTCTACTTCAGGAGAGTCAGGTAGAAACAAAAAATGACCATGATTCAGGGAAGGGGTAAAGATAAAAAGAGAGAAAGTAATTTTGTAACATTATACTGATTAGAGGGATAAGGAGATAGACTGAGAGCTGCAGCAGCTAGGATGGAATGTGTGTTAAACAGATTGTGAATATCAGTTTTGTAAATTTCACCCTTCACACAGGGGTGTGTTGGACAGTGACATTCAGCAATCACCAATTTTCAGTTACCTTTTTAAAAAGATTTTATTAATTTATTTTAGAGAAGGGGGAAGGGAGGGAGAAAGAGAAGAAGAGAAACATTGATTGGTTGCCTTTCGCGCACACACCCAAGCCAAGGACCTGGCCCACAACCCAGGCATGTGCCGTGTCTGGGAATCGAACTGTTAACCTTTGGCTTTGCAGGACAGTCAGGGATCAACCGATTGAGCCACACTGGCCAGGGCAAAGTTACATCTTTTTTATATTAGCCAATTGTAAGGCTTTAGTTAGACTTGATTTCCTAAATAGTCAAAATAGAGTGCTGAAATTTTATCTCTATTAAAAACAATCAATACGATATAAATCATCACTTTTAAAACATAGCACAATAAAATTAAGGACATCTGTTTAAGAAGAATTAGATTTTGGTTTAAAACAACCATAGTCCATGTCATGGAAAAGGAAAACTGTATTCATTTCTAAGAACAATAAACATTGCAACCCCATGATACTTACCAACATGTGAAGGCCAAACAGTTATGTGAGGATGGGAATGATACCAGCCCACAACTCTCATGGGGCGACCTGTTAGTTCAGCCAACCTGTGTGTCTGTCAAGGTATTTTCAACTGGTGGGAACAAAATCTGTGATGCTAATAAGGGCTCAGAAAGTATCCTGAGGTTTAAAACAAATGACTTACAATATAAGGTCAACAAAAGAATGAAATAAGGTTGATGCCCACAATTTCCCAGATTTCCCATTGAAAAAAAAGGTATTTCTTTTTGAAAAATGGAACCCATTTGATTTCCATTATTATATATAGTTACATCCTCTTAATCCAATTTAGCTAATGTTTGATCACACAAACACTTATCAGTGTGCTACCTGAAAAACTTTTTTAATCTTTGGAAGTCACATTATTAACTTGAGTATTCTTCTATCCTCTCTCTAGTTCCATCCTACTCTTATTTTTGAAAAAGAATTACAAGATTTAAAAAATTAATTTGATTTCTCTCTGGCAGGCCCCCAATGTCAACAAGAGCAACTATGGTGGTTTCAGAGACCAAATAAACCTAGTTCGGTCTCCCCATTTGTCTGGAAATATCGCCCAAAGGAATATTTTCCTCCTTTGTTCTAGAAATAAAATTTTCCCATAATTCTGAGTCTCTAACTTGAGATACTCAACTCAGAGATAAGGAGGTGTCCCTTTCCGTTACTGCGCACTGAGACTGCTGCTGCTCGAGTGTAAAATGCTGGCTCACATCCCTGCAAGTTACATTAAAACACAATAATTCTTTCTATACAACTAAACCTGAGAAAGAATGTATTTTAAGTAATTTTTTTTTATTTTCAAATGCCAAGAGAAATCACTTAAGTGTTCTGAACCCACTTCTTCAGCTGCAGACTAGGGGGAAATCCAGCTCACACAACAGTGAAGAGTAAATGCAGTAATCCAAGCAAGGTGTTTAGTTTACATGGTGCCTGGCACCCAGTTAAGTGCTTAACAGACACTCATTGTCAGTTTAGTACATTAACATGCAACAATGTGTCCAGCCATCCCTCTCCCATTTTGGGAATGGCCTAGTTTTAGTTTGAAGTTATAATATATAATCACAATAGTAAGTATCTTTTATACAATTATCTTCTGGGAATTTTATTTTGGCAAAGTTTGTTTTGTTTGTTTAAATACCAATGAATGGGCTTTCTGCTTCTGGCTAAAATGGAATAAAATAGACTGGACTTATCCTCCTGCCTGAAATAAGCAAATAAATTGTATTATATGAAACAGGAAAGCCAGTAAATGGGAAACAAACAAGATGAGCCCTTGAGAAAACTTCCAGGCCACAGAGCAGAGAGGGGAATCGAGGTAGAGCTCACCAGTTCCCTGGGTTTAAGACAGTCCAGTAGGTAGAGTTTGCAAGGTAGAGGACCACAGGGAAGAGAGAGGCAGAGGGCAGGAACATTGCATATCCCAGAGGGTCCCCTCGGAGTATTCCACAGGCCACTGAGCAGCACAAGCGTGTGAGGAAACTGCATGAGGCCCGGGGAGAGGCGGGGTGGGGGTGGGGGGTGAGAACTACCTGAAGGGATGAAAGGTAACCACGCCCAGGGCTCAAGCAGGACAGGGACTAGTGGCTGTCCCCGCCGGCCAGGATGGTAAACCTCACAATTTGGGAGGCATCAGGCAAGGTGCGCCCACGGGTTTTGCCTCAGTAGGGTGTGGCAAAAATGACTCCCATTCTGAAAGGGCCCACACAGCAAATCTTGAGAGCCAGACTCTAAAGGATCCAACTATTCTGCATAACTTAATAGCATTGACAACTAAGCTGAAAAATTATGTCTAGTAATAACTACAAAGATATCTAGCACCCAAGAGAAAACCATAATATGTGGCATGTGACCTATAATTACCAGACATGTAGAGAAACAAGAAAATCCAGTCCTTAATGAAGAGATGGAAAACAGATTGGTATGGTAAGGGTAAGAATTCGGGGAGAGGCAGAGTGAAAAAAGCCAATCTTAAAAGGTCATATACTATATGATTCCATTTATCAAACATTCTTGAAATTACAACATTATACTGATACAGAACAGATTAGTGACTTCCAGGAGTTGAGGTAGGTGTGACTATACAGGAGGAGCATGAGGCAGGTATTTATGGTGATGGAATAGTTCTACATCTTGACTGCTATGGTGGTTACATATATCTATACATGTTACAAAATGGCCTAGAACAACACATTATATCAATGTCAATTCCTGGTTTCTATATTATATAAAATGTAACCCTCAGGGGAAGGGTACAGGGACTTTTCTATACTATCTCTGTAACTTCCAATGAATCTATAATTATTTCAAAATAAAGAGCTTTAAAAAAGGTACATGCTACAAAAACAAATTGCTACCTCTGATTATATAAATATACAAAAACAATATGGACAAAAAACGCATACACCCCGAGTAAGATGAGAAAAATCATTATCCTTATCACAAAGGTTTAATTTTCTTAACATACAGAGTGCCCATAAATTAAGAAAAAGATTTCCAAATAAACAGAAAAATGGGTAAAGATATTAAGCAGATATTTCAGAGAAAAATACAAATAGCCCTTAAAAATTAAAAGCTGATTAAATTTACTCACAATTTTTAAAATGCTACTTAAAGTTGCAAGAAACAAGATACAATTACAGATTGGCAACAATCAAAAACTTTGATCTACCAGGGCCTAGTAGCACAAAAACAAAACTTTGAGGACGCACAGTTTATAAGTGTGCAGGGAAACAGCAATTTCACCTCTAGGAACTGGTCCTACAGGCACATGCACACATTTGTGAAATGCAGAATATGTTAAATACTTCTAAAAAAATAAAATACTCATATGTTTCTACAGTCACAGAGTTTATCTATAAGGATACATGAAAACCTGATAACCCTGGTTATGTCCAGGGAGGACCATGGGGAAAACTGGGGCACAGAGGTTGGAGATAAATACTTATTTTGTGTACCTTTTTGTTCCTTTTAAAGTTTATACTATGCATATGTACTGCCTATTTTTAAAAGTTACTTTTAAATTGACTACAAGATTAACTTAATACAAAAGACTGATAAATTACTAAAACTACTGATGCAAATTTAACTTGCTATAGCTGACGTAGGGAGTCCAGATCATAGGAAGCAAATGTCCCATTTGATCATTCTTTTGTTGTATTTAACATGGAATGTTGCATTCACTTTTCAGCATTGCACCTTTTTAGACACAGCCTCAAAAGGTAATCTTTCCAAATGATAGAGACCAAGATAGTAAAAAGCCTAGAAATTAAATGGTACTAGGACAACTTGGGGCAGGGGTGGGTAGAGGGCACTGAGAGGTGGTGGGAAGAAGGAGGAAGGGATTCCCCACAGAGCTCATCGTCACAGGATTTGACCTTGGGATCTTTTGATATTTAAGAGCTGGAATGTTAGAAATTTCTAATTCATCGAATCAAAAGGAATGGGCAAAAATTCTGAGTAACCAAGCAATTGGACCTAAGGGATAAATATGTAAACTGAGACCGAGCCACCAGGAAGAGAACCTGTGAAGTCTGCTAAAGCAGGCTAAGGTAACAAACAGAGGAACCTGGCCTAGAAACCCCAGAGCACATATAAGCTTCTTATCAACCAATAAGGATATCTCTGCCTCTGTTGAGGCCGCAGAGAGCTGCTCTGGAGAAATTTCCACTCGATCCTTCCTCTTATCAGAGCGTCGCAAGATGATGACAGAATGAATGTGAACAATTCTGACGGTGTCGACCTAAAGGAAAATCCACAGAAATGTTTACTTCTGTCTCTGCAGTAATATCTCTCCCTGCAATTATAGAATTGTATTGTATTACATTATCAGGTTAAAGATTCCATTTCAGAAAACCGACATTTTTCTCATGGATAATGGAATGCTTCAAATAAAAGACATTCAAACTCAACATATACATTTCAAAACAGAAAAATACCAAAGCTAATATTTAGATCAAGGAAGGACTTCTCAAATGATCAACTAATAATCATTTGATTCATAAATATGTGCAAGACACTGTCACACAAAAGAATACAAATCAAAATGCTAACAGTCTGGTTGAGCAGCAAGTATCACACATGAAACGACACTAAAATAATGTAGTAAATTAATGCTACAGAAGCTCAGGGGAAAGGAATCACTTAAATTAGAAAAAAAAGTCTTCATAGAAAAGGCAGACGAATGTATCTATTTCCTGACTGCTGTTGTAAGTGTGTGCAGATAGAATTTCTGTAGATGCTAAATGGATACTAGCAATATGTTTGAGAGACAAGTTGGCCAACTGACTTAAATATTAATATAAAACTTTAGATGGAATGGCAGACAGTAAGGCAAAGAAAGAAGGCTAAAGCATTGATAAAAATGTGCAGGACGTCAAATGCCAAGCCATGATCTCCAGGATGAACTGGATGGGGTAAAATTATTTCAGATAGCCTGCATATGAAGTAATATAGTACCGGATAAAGTACCGGACTAATTGGATGGCAGAGATGAAAGAGACAGAATTGAGATTCATTATAAAGGAAGAATCCGCAAGATTTGGTAGCTTATGGACTACAGGTGATAGAGGACAGGAGATTGTCAAGGATGACTCTTCAAGGCTGAAATGGTGAAACACAGAAGGCAGGTCTAAGTTTAGCAAGGATCAGGAAGGAAGATGAGCATGTTTTCCGATGAGCTGATCTGGGATGAGAGGATGTAAATAAAAACAAGGAAGTGTGTGGAGAGAGGGGGCAGAGGTCCAGGCCTCAATCAAGTGGATGCCCACATTTTGTATGGGGTACAAGAGGAGCCAGGAAGGCAGAGGAGTCAAAACCAGGACAATGAGATGGTTCAAAAGTTACACGGGAAAAGATGGGTGTGGCATTGCCAGACATTGCAGGGACATGGGTAAGATCTGAGAGGAGACTTTTGGAGTAAGCTATAGACCTACTACAGTGCAATACAGCAGCCATTATACTCATATGGCTATTGAGCCTGAAATATGGACCCCTTTCATGCCTTTTCTACCTGATGAACTCTTTCATAGCATTTAAATTCCCTTTGATGAGGCCTTTAAATGCTCATACTACAAAGAATCATTCTCCTCACCATATGACATTATTAAATAATTCCAATACATATCTTTGCTAGAGGTTTTACACCTTGCATTCTCTTTGTTGACATAATTTCTTCCTCTATTAAAATGTAAGGTCCTAAGGGCAGGAAATGTGTTTTAATTGTTTGTACCCCAGTGACTCTACAGTGTCTGGCAGGCACAGAGTACACAATATAGAAAATGGGGATTCAGAAGATGGAGGCTGAGTAGGTGGAAGCTGAGCCCATTTGCTTGTGCCCCCAGCATGGGTTTTTGGCGTATCTTCCAATAAGTGACCTGAACAATCAACAGAATCTCAGCTGATAGGAATTTTTGAAGCCAATGAGTACAGAGGATGCTTTGCACCACCTGGTAAGGGATTTTATAAGTTGGGGGGAAAATGCCCTGTGCGAGGTGCCTGCAGCAGAGGAGAGAACAGACAGAAAACACAGCTTAGTGGCTCCCCATCCCCTCCCCGACTCCCAGAGCAGGGCCCTTGGTCCCACACAGGGAAACTACCAACCCTGACCAGAAGAGACTTGGAAGGATACACAAAGTCTGGGAGACTTAGGCTACACACACACAGCGAGCAGCAGGTCCATAGCTGTAGCTCCAACTGGGAGAGTTGCAAAGAGAAACTCTATCTCCTAAAACTGTTGGAGGCACTTGGCAGGCTGTGGCCAGCCCTAACCAAGAGAGACTTTGCCCTTTTGGGGAGGTGGAGCGTGTGGAGAACTGACCCAGTGCTGTGCTGCAGTGTGTTGGCCACATAGAGACTTAAAAGCGGAGCTAAGATGAGACTCGGTAGGGACCCTGTGCTCACACGCATGCAGGCAGCGGCTCTGCCAACAAAGAAACAAAAGTGAAAGCACAGTTCAGTCCCACTGAGTCCAGCTGCACAGGAAGAACAAAAACTGTCACACTGACGGGACTGTGGGACCTGACCCAGCATGGCTGGCAAGCAGGGGCTGTGCAGAGTGGAGAGTTCAGGCCTGACTCTCCTGCGAGAGCAGCAAGCTGGCAACTGGATGGCCAGGAGCTGAACCCCTGAGATTCATTTCAGCCAGGCAGGTCCCCTCACAGGCAGGCATGCCCAACCCCACCTGCAGGATTTCAGGTTCTGCAGATCAGTGACGCCAGGCTCAGAAGCCCCCTGCTCAGCCATACCCACAGAGGAAAGCAGCAGCAGCTCTGGAAGGGCCCTTTCTGAACTTCTGTCAGACACTACGAGCTATGCTGGTTCCCCGGGTCCTCATCCACTGAAACAAGCAGAGCAGAACGATTAGAGACAGGCACAACCCGCCCAGACTCGGCTCTTATACAGAGCGGCCCTTTTTACACATATTGGCCCCTCACAGGAAACGGACAGCTAATTCACCAGAAACTATACATTACTGGAAATAATCTGGGACTAACCAAGGCTTGTGGCAGGGGGTCAGGGAAACATTCCCAACACCTTCCATGAATACTGAACAGCACCCCCGAGGGGTGACCCAGGGATTCTACCCTCCCGATTGCACCAGAGGCCCCCTCTGGAGGTAGGGGGAGGTGGTACCGGCAGTGCTCTCGGACATTAGATGAACCACTCTTGGGCCTTTGCTGATGGGAAGCCAGCAGGGCAGAACAGCGGCAACCAGCCACGCCTGAAGGAGACAGCCACAGAAAGTGGATCACTTGTACTCATGATCAGGCTGCCCAGGGCTACACTAGAACACCATCTGACATTACCAGGGGCAGATCCAGAAAAAGAAGACAGTGGCAAACACTGGACTCTGCTGAGATGAACTCTACCTGGGTCTTCTTCATTATTTGCATTATTTTTCCTCCTGCATAGCTTTCTGTTGTTTTTCCTTTTTGTTCATATTTGTTCCTATTATTTTACTCTTTTTAAAAATTTTTAGTTTATTTGAGCCCTGGTCAGTGTGGCTCAGTAGACCAAGCACCGGTCTGCAAACCAAAGTGTCCCCAGTTCGATTCCCAGTCAGGGCACATGCCTGGGTTGTGGGCCAAGTCCCCAGTAGGGGGTGAACGAGAGGCAACCACACATTGGTGTTTCTCTCCTCTTTTTTCCCTCGCTTCCCCTCTTCCTAAAAATAATCTTTAAAAAATATTTATTTCAAATTTCATATTTTGCTCCTCCCTTCACTTACCCCATTTTGCCTTCTTGCTGCTGCTTATTTTTGTTTTAAACTTTATTTTTTCCCTTTGTATGACTTGTTCCTATTCCACACTCTATTTCTCCTCCCTCCAGACTCTCAAAATGATTTTTCTTGCCATTAGTCATCTCACATTGTTTTCCCCTTTCTTATAATATTCTTGTTTTCCCTCCACCTTCATTAATCTATGCTCGTCAGTTGTTAACATGGTGGTTGTTGCATTTCTTCAGTTTTATTCCTAGATGCTCACTATTTTTGTATTTCAAATCTCAAATTTTACTGTTCCCTTCTCCTATTCAATTTTGCTTTCCTCCTGCCCTTTATTTTTCAATTTTCAATTTTACTTTTTCCCTTTCTTAGCCTGGTTTTCATTCCTCACTCTTATTATACCCCCAACCATCCTCTCAAAAATCACTTTTCCTTCCCTTTTTTTCTTTTTTTTTCTTCTTATTCCTTTTCCAACAGTATTAATCTTTGCTCATTTATTGTTGATATTGCTGTGGTGGATGTTTTTCTTCAAGTTTGTTACTATTTTTTCACTAATTAAAATTTTTAAAAAACCTTGTATTGTACTCATCCTTTTTCTTACTCCATTTTGCCTTCAACTCCCCTCTTTAATTTACGATGTAAATTTCATTTTCATTCTATTTTCGCCTTGTTTCTATTCCCTACTCTTCTATCTTCGCCTTGTTTCTATTCCCTACTCTTATTATTTCTCCTCCCTCTACCCTCTCAAAATAATTTTTTTCATTAGTCTTCATATTCATTTTCCCTTTCCTACAATAGTCTTAATCTCTTTCCACATTTATTAATATTTCCTCATTTCTTGTTGATAGTGGGGTTGTGGGTACAGGATATCTTTGTGAATGTTGGTTTGTTCCCAGGGCTGTGTGGTTTTGTTCTCACAGCACTTATACAACAGCTACAAGGTGGACAGAGTGACCCACAGTCAGCCACCCAGAGGGAAGAACCCACCAAAGAATGACCCAACAACAACCAAAATCCAATTACAATGAGAGCCCCATAAACAGCATAAAGGGCATTCCAAGAGCATCCAACTCAAGAGATCAAAGAGACCGCACCACTGAATACCACAGGTCTCCTACCATAGGTCACACCACGAAGACAGGGAAGACAGTCTAAGAGCCCATCAGTAGATAAGTGAATTAAAAAGAAAAACTGTGGTACATTTACACAATGGAATATTATCCAGCAGAAAGAAAGAATTCCTACCTTGTGCGACAGCATGGTTGGAATTGGAGAATGTTATGCTAACTGAAATAAGCCAGTTGGTTAAAGACAAATACCATATGATCTCATCTATAAGAGGGATCTAATGAACAAAATAAACTAATGAGCCATACAGAACCAGAGGCATGGAAACATGGAACAGACTGAGAGTGATCAAAGCGGTTGGGGGAGGGGATAATGGGTGAAAGATGGGGAAGGGATCAGTCAGAGAACATATAGAATGACCCATGGAAATAAACAACAGTGTGGGAATTCAC